ATCATCATCACAGGTAGGTTCCTGATGATTGGAGGGAGCTAATGTTGCACATTTATTTGAGAAAGGTCGTAAGGAGAAACCAGGGAATTGTAGACCAATGTGTCTGACTTCGGTACTAGGTAAATTGTTGGAGGTGATCATAAAGGATACGATTTATGTTCATTTCGAGACACAAAAATCAATTAGGGATACTCAGCATGGTTTTGTGCAGGGAAAATTGTGAATCACAAACTTGATTGAGTTTTTGAGGAAGTTACCAAAAAGATTGATGATGGCAGAGCAGTAGCCATTGTTTATTTGGAATTTAGTAAAGCCTTCAACAAGCTTCTGCAGGGTAGATTTAATAGTAAAGTCAGGTCACGTGTGATTCAGGGTGAGCTTGCCAATTGGATTCATTATTAATGGTCAGTCCTTGAATAGTGTTGTAGAACAAATGGACCCAAGGGTGCAGGTTCATTATTCTTTGAAGTTCGCAAAACATATAGACAGAGTGGTTAGAAAGTTGTTTGGCATGTTTGCCTACATTACTCAGTCGACTGATTATAGGTATGACGGAGATAGTAGGAACTGCAGACGCTGGAGAATCTGAGATAACAAGGTGTAGAGCTGGATGAACACAGCAGGCCAAGCAGCATCAGAGGAGCAGGAAGGCTGACGTTTCAGGCCGAGACCCTTCTTCAGAAATGGGGGAGGGGAAGGGGTTTCTGAAATAAATAGGGAGAGAGGGGGAGGCGGATAGAAGATGGATAGAGGAGAAGATAGGTGGAGAGGAGACAGACAGGTCAAAGAGGCAGGGATGGAGCCAGTAAAGGTGAGTGTAGGTGGGGAGGTAGGGAGGAGATAGGTCAGTCCAGGGAGGACGGACAGGTCAAGGGGGCGGAATGAGGTTAGTAGGTAGGAGATGGGGGTGGGGCTTGAGGTAGGAGGAGTGGATAGGTGGGAGGAAGGACAGGTTAGGGAGGCGGGGATGAGCTGGGCTGGTTTTGGGATGCGGTAGGAGGAGGGGAGATTTTGAAGCTTGTGAAGTCCACATTGATACCATTGGGCTGCAGGGTTCCCAAGCGGAATATGTGTTGCTGTTCCTGCAACCTTCAGGTGGCATCGTTGTGGCACTGCAGGAGGCCCAAGATGGACATGTCGTCTGCGGAATGGGAGGGGGAGTTGAAATGGTTCGCGACTGGGAGGTGCAGTAGTTTAGTGCGAACCAAGCGTAGGTGTTCTGCAAAGCAGTCCCCAAGCCTCCACTTGGTTTCCCTGATGTAGAGGAGGCCACAACAAGAACAGCGGATGCAGTATACCATGTTAGCAGATGTGCAGGTGAACATCTGCTTGATGTGGAAAGTCTTCTTGGGGCCTGGGATTGGGGTGAGGGGGGAGGTGGAGGGGCAGGTGTAGCACTTCCTGCGGTTGCAGAGAAAAGTGCCGGGTGAGGTGCAGCTGGAGGGGAGTGTGGAGCGGACAAGGGAGTCACGGAGAGAGTGATCCCTCCGGAAAGCAGATAAGGGTGGGGAGCGAAAAATGTCTTTGGTGGTGGGGTCGGATTGCAGATGGCGGAAGTGTCGGAGGATGATGTCTTGGATGCGGAGGTTGGTGGGGTGGTACGTGAGGACAAGGGGGATTCTGTTTTGGTTATTATTGCGGGGAGGGGTTGTGAGGGATGAGTTGCGGGAAATGCGGGTGACACGTTCGAGGGCGTTCTCGACCACTGAGGGGGGGAAGTTGCGGTCCTTGAAAAACGAGGACATCTGAGTTGTATGGGAGTGGAATGCCTTATCCTGGGAGCAGGCGAAGGCGAAGGAATTGGGAATAGGGGATGGCATTTTTACAGAAAGGTGCATGGGAGGAGGTGTATTCTAGGTAGCTGTGGGAGTCGGTGGGCTTGAAATAGATATCGGTTTCTAGGTGGTTGCCAGAGATGGAGACAGAGAGGTCCAGGAAGGAGAGAGAGGTATTAGAGATGGTCCAGGTGAACTTAAGGTTGGGGTGGAAGGTGTTGGTGAAGTGGATGAACTGTTCGAGCATTCCCCATACAGATGGCCTAAAGGCCCTCCGCTTCTTCCTGTCCCGCAGGCCCGACCAGTCCCCCCCCACTGACACCCTCATCCGCTTAGCCGGACTCGTCCTCACCCTCAACAACTTCTGTTTCAATTCCTCCCACTTCCTACAGACAAAGGGGGTGGCCATGGGTACCCGCATGGGCCCAAGCTATGCCTGCCTCTTTGTAGGTTACGTGGAACAATCCCTCTTCTGTAGCTACACTGGCCCTAAACCTCTTCCTCCGTTACATTGATGACTGTATCGGCGCCGCCTCGTGCTCCCACAAGGAGCTCGAACAGTTCATCCACTTCACCAACACCTTCCACCCCAACCTTAAGTTCACCTGGACCATCTCTAATACCTCTGTCTCCTTCCTGGACCTCTCTGTCTCCATCTCGGGCAACGACCTAGAAACCGATATCCATTTCAAGACCACCGACTCCCATAGCTACCTAGAATACACCTCCTCCCACCCACCTTCCTGCAAAAATGCCATCCCCTATTCCCAATTCCTTCGCCTCCCAGAATGAGGCATTCCACTCACGTACATCTCAGATGTCCTCGTTTTTCAAGGACCGCAACTTCACTCCCTCAGTGATCGAGAATGCCCTTGACTATGTCTCCCGCATTTCCCACAACTCATCCCTCACACCCCCTCCCCGCAATAACAACCAAACCAGAATCCCCCTCGTCCTCACGTACCACCCCACCAACCTCCGGATACAACGCATCATCCTCCGACACTTCCACCATCTGCAATCCGACCCCACCACCAAAGACATTTTTCGCTCCCCACCCTTATCTGCTTTCCGGAGGGATCACTCTCTCCGTGACTCCCTTGTCCGCTCCACACTCCCCTCCAGCCCCACCTCACCCAGCACTTTTCCCTGCAACCGCAGGAAGTGCTACACCTGCCCCTACACCTCCCCCCTCACCCCCATCCCAAGCCCCAAGAAGACTTTCCACATCAAGCAGATGTTCACCTGCACATCTGTTAATGTGGTATACTGCATCCACTGTTCCCGTTGTGGCCTCCTCTACATCGGGGAAACCAAGCAGAGGCTTGGGGACCGCTTTGCAGAAAACCTATGCTCGGTTGGCACTAAACTACTGCACCTCCCAGTCGCGAACCATTTCAACTCCCCCTCCCATTCTGCAGACGACATGTCCATCCTGGGCCTCCTGCAGTGCCACAATGATGCCACCTGAAGGTTGCAGGAACACCAACTCATATTCCGCTTGGGAACCCTGCAGCCCAATGGTTTCAATGTGGACTTCACAAGCTTCAAAATCTGCCCTCCCCCTACCACATCCCAAAACCAGCCCAGCTCATCCCCGCCTCCCTAACCTGTCCTTCCTCCCACCTATCCCCTCCTCCTACCTCAAGCCCCACCCCCATCTCCTACCTACTAACCTCATCCCACCCCCTTGACCTGTCCGTCCTCCCTGGACTGACCTATCTCCTCCCTACCGCCCCACCTACACTCGCCTTTACTGGCTCCATCCCCGCCTCTTTGACCTGTCTGTCTCCTCTGCACCTATCTTCTCCTCTATCCATCTTCTATCTGCCTCCCCCTCTCTCCCTATTTATTTCAGAACCCCCTTCTCCTCCCTCATTTCTGAAGAAGGGTCTCGGCCTGAAACTTCAGCCTTCCTGCTCCTCTGATGCTGCTTGGCCTGCTGTGTTCATCCAGCTCTACACCATGATTGATTATAGGTGTTGGATGCCATGCTGAGGTTGAACAGGACATTGGTGAGGCCTCTTCTGGAATATTGTGTCCAGTTCTGTTCATTGAGTTATAGCAAGGATATTAAGCTGGAGAGGGTTTAGAAGAGATTTACCAGGATGTTGTTGGATATGGAAGGTTTGATTTTCAAGAAAAGCTGGATAGTCTGGGAGTTTTTTCACCTGAGAGTAGGCAGTTGAGAGGCGACCTGATTGAAGTTTTTAAAACAATGAGAGGTACAGATAGAGTTAGTGGTAGATGCTCTTCCCTAGGACCGGAGAGTTGAAGAGCAGGGGACACATTTAAATCTTTCTCCTATCACCTTAAAAACAGGGTTGACGGACATTTTATTTTCGCACAGAGGATGGTTCTCGTGTGGAAAGAACTGCCTAAGTGGACCGTGTGGGTACAACTAGAACATTTAGAAGTCATTTGGCTCGGGAGGAGAAGAGAAAGGTGGCGTGATATGGGCCAGGAGAAAGCAGATAGCATTCGTTTAGTTTGGGACCATTTTCGGTATGGACTGGTTGGACCGTACGGTCTGTTTCCGTGCTGTACGACTCTCTGATTGGTTCTTGCAGCTGAATCTACAGAACAGCGAATTTCCGGCGTCCAGGCCTCGGTGTTTAATAGTTACTGAATAGAAAAACTGTACAGTTCACTGGAAACCGGAGCAAAAGCTGAAATGAGAAGAAATTCTATTCATCCATGTTCACATTTGGTGAATTTTCTGGCCTGTGACTCTGTGGATGTGAATATTGTGTAAGAGAGACCGTCGGAAAGGGGCGGTTGGGATTGTCGAACTTTACTGTGTTTGTGCGGCAGTTCATATCATGAAATCACCGAGTCCCTATTGTGCAAATCAAAAAGATTTTAAACTGACGTTATCCCCTTCCTCCTGTATTAAATCCCAAAAGTAGAATTCAAGGCAATATATTTGTTGATTTCAATATTTCTGTCTAAAAGCAGCGACAATGTCAGCGCTCAGCTCAGAGAGCGCGATCAATGCAGCAGCAAAATACGTTTAACTCGTAAACGGAGACGTCAATTCGAAAGAAACCTTTTCAGCAGCTCACCTTCCGTGTCAGGGTTAGGAACGATCGAACCTGGCTCTCTGGAGATGCCGAGTATCACAGGAATTTGAGAGTTTCGGATGAGAGAGAAACACAAAGAGGCAGCAGGAGCAGGGAGCTGACTGTAAGTTGTCTCCGCGCCGTCCGCTCGCTGCCTTTAAATTGCTCAGTGCCGCCACCAGCAGCTTCATTGCTGACCCAGTTCAGACTGACAGAGAGAGGTCCAGCAGTGTTCTCGACATGAGCGACAGCGCAGCCGCCGAAACGGCTCCTCCAGCCTCCGCCACCACCAAAGCCAAGACTCCCAAGAAGAAGAAGGCGGCGGCTCCCAGGAAGAAACCAGCCGGTCCCACACTGAGCGAGCGGATTCTGAAGATTGTCGGGGAGAGCAACGATCGCCGGGGGATGTCCCGACCCGCTATAAAGAAAGCTCTAAATAGAAGCGGGGTCGATGTGGAGAAGCAGAATTCGCTGATCAGGATGAGTATCAAGAGGAGTGTGGGCAAAGGCTCCCTGGTTCAGGTCAAGGGCTGCTTCAAACTCGCGAAGGAGCCAGTCAAGGCTAAAGTGGTAAAGAAGACGAGAACAGCAGCAGCCGCCAAGAAATCCACCGTGAAGAAAACAACGGCCAAGAATGTGACAGCAAAGAAATCCCCAGTCAAGAAAGCAGCAACCAAGAAAGCGAGCGGCAAGAAGGTGACAACACCAAAGAAAGCGGTGAAAAAAGCAGCGCCGAAGAAAAAGACTCCCGTCGCGAAGGTGAAAAAGACCAAGAGCCTCAAGGCCGCAAAACCGGTCACGAAATCGAGTAAACCGAAGACCAAAGGGAAAGTGCCCAAGAAATCAGCAAAGAAGTGAACCAGTCTGTGCAACACGCAACCATCTGAACCCAAAGGCTCTTTTCAGAGCCACCTATTTCTCTCAGGAAAGAGCTGAGGCCGGATCAAATGATTCTTGTCCTGTCTCCGAGTCCAGGCAGATCAGAGACATTAGTTAATATGAATAATACAAATACACACTTTCTTGTCGTGATTTACGAGAGCGGAGACCTGAGAACGGGGATGGCACTTTATAGGGAGGGAATAGTGTACAGCAGCTGGTTGTTTCACATGTAATGTATCACATCGCGACTTGTAATTCTGTCCAGACACCAATGTTACATTTGCAGTATTTGCACTTCATTGACCCTTCCAGGAATGATACTTTGTTCAGGTTTGATTCTGGGACCCCTGCGAATGTTATGATAGCGTGTTCTTCCCACCTGCCTGTTACAGACAGTTCAGGTACCAATTACGAATTGTTTACGGGCTAATTATAATCCGGGTGAAATAAACGTGTACCGACAAAGTGAGATTCTATATCCTTTATCGGAGTACACTATTTTCAGATGCTTTTACGATGTTTTAGTCGGCGATGTCGCTTAGATTGATTAGCAACGGTTCAGCTTGTTTGGGCTGTTTTAAACCCCGATCTTTCATCTTGCCTCTCACAGACAGATCAGACAATGATCCCGCGTCCTGGCCGCGCTGACTAAAGTATCCGTTTTAACAAATCTATGTAATGTGTGAAATTTTATTGTAGTTGCAGAAAGATTGCGTTCTGCGTTTGAATAATTAATTTAATCTCAGGATTTGAGAGTGTGAAGTTGGCGGGCTTTTTGAAATTGACAAACTGTCATTTTAAGTTAACAAGGTGTAGAGCTGGATGAACACAGCAGACCAAGCAGCGTCAGTGGAGCAGGAAGGCTGACGTTCCGGGCCGAGACCCTTCTTCAGAAATGGGGAAGAGGAAGGGGTTTCTGAAATAAATAGGGAGAGAGGGGGAGGCGGATAGAAGATGGATAGAGGAGAAGATAGGTGGAGAGGAGACAGACAGGTCAAAGAGACGGGGATGGAGCCAGTAAAGTTGAGTGTAGGTGGGGAGTTAGGGAAGAGATAGGTCAGCCCAGGGAGGACGGACAGGTCAAGGGGGCGGGATGAAGTTAGTAGGTAGGAGATGGGGGTGGGGCTTGAGGTGGGAGGAGGGGATCGGTGGGAGGAAGGACAGGTTAGGGAGGCAGGGACGAGTTGGGCTGGTTTTGGGATGCGGTAGGAGGAGGGGAGAATTTGAAGCTTGTGAAATCCACATTGATACCATTGGGCTGCAGGGTTCCCAAGCGGAATATGAATTGCTGTTCCTGCAACCTTCAGGTGGCATCGTTGTGGCACTGCAGGATGGACATGTCGTCTGCGGAATGGGAGGGGGAGTTGAAATGGTTCGCGACTGGGAGGTGCAGTAGTTTAGTGCCAACCGAGCATAGGTGTTCCGCAAAGCGGTCCCCAAGGCTCTGCTTGGTTTCCCTGATGTCGAGGAGGCCACAACGGGAACAGCAGATACAGTATATCACATTGGCAGATGTGCAGGTGAACATCTGCTTGATGTGGAAAGTCTTCCTGGGGCTTGGGATGGGGGTGAGGTGGGAGGTGTAGGGGCAGATGTAGCACTTCCTGCGGTTGCAGGGAAAAGTGCCGGTTTTGGTGGGGCTGGAGGGGAGTATGGAACGGACAAGGGAGTCATGGAGAGAGTGGTCCCTCCGGAAAGCAGATAAGGGTGGGGAGGGAAAAATATCTTTGGTGTTGGGGTCGGATTGCAGATAGTGGAAGTGTCGGAGGATGATGCGTTGTATCCGGAGGTTGGTGGGGTGGTACGTGAGGACGAGGGAGATTCTGGTTTGGTTGTTATTGCAGGGAGGAGGTGTGAGGGATGAGTTGCGGGAAATGAGGGAGACACGGTCAAGGGCATTCTCGACCACTGAGGGGGGGGAAGTTGCGGTCCTTGAAAAACAAGGACATCTGAGATGTTCAGGAGTGGAATGCCTCATGTCGGGAGCAGATGCGGCAGAAGTGAAGGAATTGGGAATAGGGGATGGCATTTTTACAGGAAGGTGGGTGGGAGGAGGTGTATTCTAGGTAGCTGTGGGAGTCGGTGGGCTTGAAATGGATAGTGGTTTCCAGGTGGTTGCCAGAGATGGAAACAGAGAGGTCCAGGAAGGAGACAGAGGTATCAGAGATGGTTCAGGTGAACTTAAGGTTGGGTGGAAGGTGTTGGTGAAGTGGATGAACTGTTCGAGCTCCTCGTGGGAGCACGAGGCGGCGCCGATACAGTCATCGATGTAACGGAGAAAGAGGTGGGTTTAGGGCCAGTGGAGCTACGGAAGAGGGATTGTTCCACGTAACCTCAAATTTCGCTTGGGAACCCTGCAGCCCAATGGTATCAATGTGGACTTCACAAGCTTCAAAATCTCCCCTCCCCCAAAACCAGCCCAGCATGTCCCCACCTCCCTAACCTGTCCTTCCTCCCACCTATCCCCTCCTCCCAGCTCAAGTCCCACCCCCATCTCCTACCTACTAGCCTCATCCTGCCCCCTTGACCTGTCCATCCTCCCTGGACCGACCTATCCCCTCCCTACCTCCCCACCTACACTCACCTTTACTGGCTCCATCCCCGCCTCTCTGACCTGTCTGTCTCCTCTCCACCTATCTTCTCCTTTATCCATCGTCTATCTGCCTCCTCCTCCCTCTTCCTATTTATTTCATAACCCCCTTCCCCTTCCCCATTTCTGGTGAAGGGTCTAGGCCTGAAATGTCAGCATTCCTGCCCCTCTGATGCTGCTTGGCCTGCTGTGTTCATCCAGCTCTACACCTTGTTATCTGAGAAGGAGCAGAATTTGTGAAGTGCATCCAAGAGGAACAGTATGTGGATAGTCCAACTAGAGGGGTGGCCAAACAGGACCATGTGTTGGCAGACGAGCCTGGCCAGCTTACTAACCTTTCTGTGGGGGAGCATTTTGGAAACAGTGATCACAACTCCTTAAATTTTAAAGGCAACAAAAAGCGGATCTGGAGGAACACAGCAGGCCCGACATCAGCTTTCCTGTTCCTTTGATGCCGCCTGGCCTGCTGTGTTCCTCCAGATCCGCTTTTTGTTATCTCTGACTCCAACATCTGCAGTTCTTGCTATCTCCTTAAATTTTAAGGTAACTATGATTAAAGATAAGTCAGGACCTTGCACACAAGTACTAAATTGGGGAAGGGCAAATTACATCATTATTAGGCAGGAGTTAGGGAGTGTCAGTTGGGAGGAGCTGTTATTGGGCACGGCCATATTTGACATATGGGAGTTGTTTAAAGATCTACTTATCAGAGTTCAAGACCAACATGTTCCAGTATGGAGGAAGAGAAGGACGGCAAGGTAAGGAAGCTAAAATCAGACAGGGCCCATGAGGAATATAAAGAAAGCAGGAAAGAACTCAAGCAGGGAATTAAGCGAACAAGAAGGGGCCATGAAATGTCTTTGGCAAGAGGTTTAAAGAGAATCCCAGTCATTCTATACTTGCAGTAGAAACAAAAGCATAACTAGGGAGAAGGTAGGACCACTCATGCATAAAGGATGAAACTTGTGCTTGGAGGCAGAGGATGTGGGCGAGATCTTAAAAGATTACTTTTCTTCGGTATTCACCCAGGAGAAGGATATGGAGGATACTGAGATTAGCGTGGACAATGCTAATATGCTATTATGAGATCAAGAAAGAAGTGGTTTAGATTTCAGATTTTACCATCACCTGTACTCAAGTACAGGAGTACAGTGAAAAGTGAATAATGTTGCCACACAGCACCATCTAAGCTGGTAGGTACAAAACAGCTTGGGTACAAGGTAGCAAGAGAAACAAGAGTTAAAAGCATTACTTCATAGAATAGGAGAAAAATAAAGAAATAAGTAATAGTTTCCATTGAAGTCATTCATAGTTTAACTAGGAAAATAAAGTTAAAAGTTCAACAGTCTTTGATGAGTCCTCCTTTTATCTCGCCCTGCTTTCTGTTCTTGATGCCACCGCCACAGATACCATTGGAACATGCCCGGAAGGATCCACTCACATACTGAGCCAAGACACTGCCGAGAGCGGCCAAGAGACCAGGTTGGACCCAATTAGAGACCAAGCCAGGATCCGCCACAAACCGCCTAGAGACCAGGCTGAGAACTGCCACAAGCTGCTAAAAGGCCAGGCTGAGAGCTGCCACATGCTGCCTAGAGACCAGGCTGAGATATGCCACATGCTGCTGAGAGATCAGGCCGAAAGATATCACAAACCACTGAGAGATCAGGTTGGGACCTAGCAGGAGCCACTGAGAGTCCAGTCTGAAAGCTGCCACAAGCTGCTGAGAGACTAGGCTGGGACCAACCATGAAACCAGGCTGAGACCCGCTGTGAGACCAAAGGGGGAGAAAAGAGAAAAAAAGAGAAGGAATCACCAGAAATTGAGGAGCTCTGTTGGAGCGTCCTACTCTGCTGCCATCTTGACTGATCTCTTTACGAGTATTAAGGTGGATAAGTCCCCAGGGCATAGAATCATAGAACTCCTACAGGCCTCTCAAGTTCACAATCCTCTGAAGAGTATCCCATCCAGACCCAAACTCCTACCCTGTCCTTTTAACCCTGCATTTCCCCTGGCTAATCTACCTAGTCTGCACATCCCTGTACACTATGGGCAATTTAGCATGGCCAATCCACCTAAACTGCACATCTTTGGGCTGTGGGAGGAAACTGGCAACTGGAGAAAACCCATGCAGGAATGGGGAAAATGTGTAAACTCTGCACAGTCGCCTCGAGGTGGAATCAAACCAAGGTTCCAAGTGCTGTGAGGCAGTAATGCTAACCACTGAGCTACCATGCTGCCTTGATGCTATACAACTCAGTTATTGACTGGAGATTGCTGGGGACTTGACCAAGATCTTTGTATCCTCACTAGCCACTGGAGAGGTCTTGGAGGACTGGCGAGTAGCTCATGTTTTTCCTCTGTATAAATAGGGATAATCCAAGAAATTATAGACTGGTGAGTCTCATATCAGTGGTAGTTAAGCTACTGGAGAGAAATCTTAGGGATAGGATTTATGCACATTTGGAAACACATGGCCTAATTAGGGACAGTCAACATGGCTTTGCGCATGGCAGGTCATGTCTTACTAACATGCTTGAAATTTTCAAGGAGTTGATGAAGCGATTGATGAGGGTAGAGCAGTGGATGTTGTCCAAATGGATTTTACTAAGGTTTTCACCAAGTTGTCTCATGGTGGGCTCATCCAGAAGATGAAGATGCATGGGATCCACGGTGACTTGGCCGCTTGGATTCAGAATGGGCTTGCCCATAGAGTACTGATGGTTGGATGTCTATGACTAGTGGTGTTCTGCAGGGATCTGTACTGGGACCTCTGCTTTTTGTGATATAAAAATGACTTGGATGAAAATATAGATGGGTGGCTTAATACATTTGCAGACAATACAAAGGTCAGCAGAGTTGTGGATACTGTAGAAGGTTGTCAAAGGATACAGTGGGATTTAGATCAGCTGTA